CTGTGAGACACAGGATACTAGGCAAGATGCACCTATGGTTTGATCCAGTAAATGGCAGTTTTGATGTTGTTATGCTCATGTCACCTGCTAGTACAAAATGGAGCAGAAAAAGGCTGCTAAAGGAAAGAGTCCACCTTCTAAAGCAAATGTAAGAATTGTGGTGCCCGAAGTTAAGATGTCCTTGTCCAATAAGCCTCAGGCTCCCCCCTCCCTGGGGCAGGGGGCTGGACTCAATGATCCTCCAGGGTACCTTCCAACCCAAAAGTCTATGAAATCTATGAAATCACATCATGCCAGGGCAGAGACTACCACAACTGAGCACGAGGCTTCTCTGTTTAGGTCAGTCCATCTTAGGCCACTCAAGGCCCCCTTTCATCACCAGCTTTCCCTTGTTTTTCCTGCTTTTGCCACAGGGACTGTTTGCCTCTGGGCCCCATTTCATCTTAATTGTTGCTTTTCATTTCTGCATGACCTGCTGTTGTGGTTCAGTGGTAGAACCATTGTCTGCCACATGGAAGACCTGGGTTTGTTTCCCAGATGTGTACGTAACTACAGCCATCGAGGCACCAAAAGTCCAGGCTCAGTCTGGCCTTTGGATTCTGTCTCAATGGTCTAAGGGGGAAATGGAAGGTCTGGGCAGCCTCCACTCCCCCATACTCCTGCCTAGGTGGGTGCATCAACAGTCTAGGTGACCTCTGATGCATACACCATGACCCAAAAGGATTGATGGTTGCCTCTTACTACTTCTGCATGACACCCAGGCCCACAGTGATGGACACCCCATGAACAAACTCAGCACATACATGGTACATAGTATACATCTGGCTGTGTTTCCATGACTACAGTTCATGGGCCAGTTTCATTACACAAGTGGAAGCCTTCAGCAATGCCAACAACTGCCAGAAGGTCCCACACTATAAACTGTACTGAATTACTCTGGCTCAACAGGGAACAGATCTATTCCAGCATGGCTGAGCTACATCATATATCCCCAACCAGTGAAGCTAAAATGATAGGTCACAAACCCGTTTAAATGGAACAGGTGTTTTGTCTGCTTGTATTATGTTCAAGTTCCTTAGTCACGCGCTCAGGGAAATACAGAGGTATGTCATAAACTCAGGAGCAATTTGTGTGGGGGGGGAGGGGGAGTAGATGAGAGAGAGAGAGAAAAAAAAAGAGTATTTATTTAAGTGCCTGATATAAAGTGACTAACACCCATGGAAAACCAAGTCCAGAAATAATATAATAATATATACTTGGACAGTTGCTAGCGGTGTCCCTAATCTGCCCTGTCTCTGACCTTAGGCATAACTTGGAGAGACATTGTTTAGGCATGAATCCTCAAACCAATCCCAAAGCCTTCTGCAAGCCTGGGTCTCCACTGGAAGAGACTGTCATTTCTTTCAATGGGCACAGCTTTTGTGACATGGAGTTTGACCCACACACCAGCCTGCCAAACCTAGCTGAGGAGATCAGATGGTAAAAGCAGAGTGCACTAGGCTCTGACCTTTGTGGAAGCCTTAGGATAAATGGGAAGGCAGGAAAATCTACATTAAAAGTTCAGGTATTGCCCCCTGTGGAAGGCTCTATAGACTGCTGGTAGGATTATGAAACTATAATACAATGACAAAGAACAGAACCCAGTGATTTCTCTGTGTTGGTCATGCTCAACACTACAATTAAAATTGCAGGGGTTGTTTTACTCAAGGGCTGTTAGCATGAGATCCTTTCAATTTAATGCTAACGGATCAGATAGCAGCACTACAGCCCAAAGAACCCCCGATGATAACACCGACTATCGCTGCAATCAGGCGGGCTCTGAAACTTTCTTGTGCGGGTCCTGACACCCACAAAGACTCCTAGTCTGATTCAGAGGCCCACAAAGGTAACAGGAGCCCTTCCAGCGTGGTCATACAGGTCTGTGCTTGCAGACAAGGTGTCTGTTGATTGTTTTCTACAGCCTAGAATTTGAGGAAGGAAGGAAGAAACCGCCCAGCACATTTTTACATAAGGTGCAGTTAACTTCTGGAATCCATAGCCACAGGGGGCGGTGGAGGCAGATAGCATGACCAGGTTCAGAAAGGGAAGGGCTAAATTCATGGTGACAGATCTATTCCTGGCTATTGAACACAGGGGTTGGAAGTGTTTCCACAGGCATCTCTAAACCAATAATGATGAATGCCAGGAAAGGTATTGACTAGGGGAGTGGTTCTCAAACTTTTTTGGACCCAGACCCATTTGTAAATATTGATGGCCAGTCTTGACCCAGTGCCCTTCACTCCCAACCCACTGCCCCCAGGCACCAGCACCCCAGTGTGTGGGGTAGGGGGTGGGGGTGGGGTACAGGGGAGGCCCCAAGCAGCCCCTCTCAGGCTGGAGCTCTGCCAGCCTGCAAAGGAAAATCCACGGTTTCCCACATTTTTTCTCCTTTAAAGGAGAATCCATTTAGAAAGTTTGTTTGCAACCCTTTCATATATTCTTGCAACCCACTTGTGGGTCATGACCCATGGGTTGAGAAATGCTGGACTAGGAGATAGAGGAGAGATCCGGTTCAGTGCTCTCCCCCTATAGCATCCTTTCCTGCCAGTGTCATAGACAGCATCCTGGCCTAGAAGGACCCTCAGCCTCACCCAGTCTGGCACTAATTATGCTCTTAAGTTTGTAAAAAAGAAAAGGAAGCCCCACAAATGCACAGTGCACAGTGTCAGGATTTTACAGCGCAGCTGGGGAGTTAGAAAGCTCAGCTTCATGTGCTGCCAGCGGAGCTGCACCTCTGATGGCTAGCGCTGAGCCTGGCCGGGTACCTGTCCTGCCAAAAAAGCCTTTAGAAGAGGCACTGTAATCCCACCACCCTCTTCAGAGCCTGCTGCAGGTTAGGGAGCCTCCATCCTTAAGACCAGAGGAGACAAAGCCTTGGCTGAGATGACACTTCCTCAGCTGAAAGAAGGGCATTTGTACCCGGAAGCTTTGCAAAGAAGAATGTTTCCAACTATTTTAGTTGGGCTAATCGGATTTACCCAAAGAACCTCATTTGGCTGGGATGAGATGGGCGAGGACGTCGCTGCTTTGAGCAGGGGGCGGCACTAGGTGCCTCCCAGCCTGAATTCCCCAGGACTGTGCGCTCCCCCTCCCAGGGGAAGGAGGGGGTGGGCCAACCCTTCCCCTTTGGCGGCTGGAGGGAGGGGGAAGCAGCCGCACAAGGGTCACTGACCCCGGGGGCGATCCTTAGAGGACTAAGGGGGCTTCAAGGGAGGCTGGAAGGAGGACTGGGGGGAGGAAGCGCTGAGGCTGACTGGAAGCGGGGGCTGCGGCAGGGGAGCGGAGGGGAGGACCCGCGCTCGGGGCCGGGCAGTACCTGGGGCCGGGGAGCAGCGCCCACCCCGGCGCCTGCCTGCGCCTGCTCCCGCTGCTGCTCGTGCTCGTGCCGCCGGGCGGAGAAGTAGGTCCAGGCGGCGTAGGCCAGGCCG